GTTGTAAGCACTGTGTAACTGCCTCGAGGGTGCTTGACCATTTTAACACAACGTGGTGCGATCATCCCCCTTGCGCGGAGTGAGGGTTCTCGACCCCGCACAACATGATCTACTCGACCACCATTATGATTACCGCAAAAAAAAAAACGGAGGTAAAAAAAATAAAAACGGTAACCTGGTTGCCGAGTTCACGAAGTGAATTGGCTTGTTTTACAACGTCGTTGCCAAGCGACGAAAACCCAATCCCGATGGCAAACACCGGGGGGTAGCGCGGGGGGGGCACTGCCTTGAGGGGGGGTAGACAATACGGACGAGAACGCAGGACGAATTTGCGTCATTTCGATTGTCACGCGAAGAACCGAAAAATGGTCGACGCAGCAAGATTCATGCCAGTCTTGAACAAAGATTGGCCACGGTCGCTTACCTCTATGAGCTGAACGTTTAGGGCGTCCCTCACGGTCTGCAGCATCAGGACCCCGTCCGCAGCGGGCCAGGGCTCCACGTCGACGTCCACATTGACTTCGCCGCCGTTCTTGTCGAGGAAAACCGCAGACCGCCAGCCCCCTTTCCTCTCTACCGCCCTCTCAATCGCGTCCACGCGTTGGGCAAGGACCTCCGCCTTCCATCGCCCATCCTCGTCGGCAGTGTCCGCCGCCGCCGCCGGTTCTTCCCCGGCTGTTGAAGAATACGTGTGTTCTTCCCCCTCGCCAGCGGAAGTAGTCTCAACTCGGAAGCGGCTGGGCTTGGACTCCCGCAGCGCGCTCCCCGCGTCGTCCAACTCTCGCTGGAGCGACTTACGCAGGATCTGGAGGTCGTGAATGTCGCTGGCTTCGAGACTCTTCGACAGGATGGCTAGCCGGCGCTCGGTTTCGGCCGCCTTCTCGTCGTTCCAGTAGCGGCCGACCATTTCTTCGTCTGCGGTTCCCGTGGTAGCGGGGGTGTTCCCCGGTGGGGAGGAGGCGCTGCCAAGGCTTTTCTCGCTGCGGAGGCTGCCATGGTCACCTTGTTGCCGTTTTCGCCTCCGGTGGTGTTTGAGGAGTGCGGCGCCCTCTCGCTTGTGGAGAGAGGCTTCGGCGAGGGCCACGCTGACCTCCACCATGTCGGCCGAGGCTAGGGTACGCTGGTGGAGCGATAGCGGTTGGGAATGACACATTGTTGTTTATTGCCTCGTCTTGTCGTGAAGACGCATGCCATAGCAACCGGGTGGTGGAGGTGATGATTGGCTGGGTTCTTGGTTTGTTTTCCTTATTCTGATGGCCAATGATCGCAAACTCATTTCCAGAGACAAATCAATTTCATACTGTTCGTGAGTGCGCGGTGGTCGACACCGAAAAATTTCGCCGTCGTTGGATCATCATTGCCACCAAATCCTAGCCTCGACCCTTTTCTTCTCACCTCCAGCGCCTTTTCCGTAGCTTTGTTCGCCTCGATGCCCTCTCGGTCATCCTTGTTGAGCTCGTTTCGCTTTTTCCCCAGCAACTGCGTGTGATCCCAAGCAAACCCGTGGCACAAATGGTTCGCCGGATATCTAGATGGTTCGAATCTCAGCAACGGGAATCATTATTTCTCGGGAAAAGGTGTTGTAAGGTTGCTCCAACATTCGAGATACGAGGTCCGCCGGAGAACGCAAATATTGCTGTGACGTCCATGAAGCGTCCCCTCCCGTGCACATGATGTCCCGGACAAATGGCTTCCCGTTTACCTTTTGCGGTTTGTTTTGTCGCACGGTCGTGCTGCACATCTATCCATCTACCGACACCCCCCTACCTTCACTGCCGTGAGGATGGACTCAAGGGATGTCCCCGCCAGCTTCTTTGCGACCTCGGACTTGCTCTCTATTAACTCTTCCAGCTCCTTCGTCGCCTCAATTTCGCCAGGATTGGGCATTCCAGACGACGAAGTGCTGCTGTACCGATGCGCCTGATTCCGTGGCAAGATCCCGTCGTTCGTAGGTGCCGTGGTCGTTGGGGGATACAGAGCATTTCGCGAGAAGGGCCGGATCCGATGTTGTAGATTTGTTGCCGAGCTTCTCGCCATGTTCTGTTTCACAATCGGCCATCTTGGCTCTTGTTGTTTGTTTCTCTTTCGTTGGCTTCGTGTGTTGGGTGGGAGCGATGGGCTCTAAATATCTGTTTCTCCCCTTTGCCTGGCATGCGGCCTGCGACATCTGACTCTCTCGGGCCTTGTTGTCATTGCGCTGTTCTCCCATACTTTCGCTATTTTTTCGTTTCGTGTCCCTCTTTGGGTGTTGTATCTTTTGACCACCGCCGGTGACCGCGTCTGTCCGACCACGACGAAAGTTAGAAAGTGCTGAGGAGAGGGCGGAAAGGAAAATGGTACTGCAAGGCCAAACAGCGCAGCAACAATAACGACGAAGCGATGATACAGCGAAATGACATATATCTATCGACATGCAAACAATCGGTATTGGGAAAGATTGGTTCTGGTTCTTCCTTAAACTGCCGACTCAAGATAAGTCATATTTGCCGCTTTCCTGCTTGAGATAGGTCAGTCAGTGTGAGCAGTTCAAGCGCCAAAGTACGACGTGCACGTTGCAGGTCTGCTTGCAAGAAACATTGGCACTAAGCCACCGCGCCACGATCGGCCCGGCTGTCTAGGGGAGGAGCCGAAAAGTAAGCAGATCTTTCGCACGGTGATGGGCGCTGGGAGTAGGATTCTACAAAGTGAAAGTGCTGTCAGGAGTTTTTACCTTTGTGGCGGGTGCTTCCGCCGCCGCTGCGGCCTCTAGTTTTCCTTTGCACGCGGACATTTTTTCGGCGAGGGCCTCGGCCTCCAGGGTCATTTCCACGACTGACGCTGCGGCAGCGATGGAGGCCTCCGCACTCTTTGCCTTTCGTTCCATGTGGGCGAACACGGGGTGCAGCGTCAAGCTTTCCGTGGCTGTTGCTGCTGCTGTTGCTACCGTCGTTGGGACAATCGCTTCCCCGTTTACCGTGCCATCGTCGGCTGTTGTATCGCCGGGTGGGGTCGTTGAATCATCATGGTTTCCGCGAGAAGACGCGCGACTGCTGCAGCCGCCGCCACTGCTGCTTGTTCGCCGACGTTTGACGTTCGACGCGGGCCTTCTTGCGGCTGGCCTTTTCGAGTCCAGAACTCTGTCTTGCCTCTTCTCTCGCACAGAGCCATCAGCGGCGGCAGCAGAAGTAGCACCAGAGGGTGACGGTTCGGCGGCGAGCTCTTCTTTCGTGATGGTTCGTCCCTCTGGGGCATTTTCACTCGCCTCTCCCGCTCTTTCCGGCGACGCTGTCGCCATGGCGAGGTTGGTGCTATCCCCGCTTCCTCCACTCCGGGCGCTGGTAGAACCAGAAGCTAACGCCCCCTCCGCCGACATCGCGGCCTTCGCATCGCTCGCCGCCTCTGCTTCCTCTGCCACTGCCGAAGCATGGGCATCTTCAGCCTTTTTTCTGGCTATGGTCGCCGCTGAGGATAGCTGGGACAGCTCTTCCAGTCGGGCTGCGCCGGCCTCTTCCTTGGAGATCACTGCCCGCAATTCCTCCCTTAGCCTGCGTTATTCGTAGATCAGACAAAACAGAGGGGCCAGGCGGGTTCCATGTGTCCATCCGTTGGGCATGAGCGGACAGGAGCTGTTTTTGATATAACATTCAACCATGAGATGCAATCGATTCAAATTGTTCACTCCACTTGTTTCACCTCTTTGGTTCGATATTGAATGAACGGTTTTTGCCTGGCCGAACTTTGCGTGTAGCGTCTCCAGAGCAATAGCTGTAAAATGGAGCGGAACCATAGCTTAAGTATGACATGCTCACATGAGCCTGCTACTCTATCCACAATTTTCTAGCACTGCGTTCGTCCCCTCGTCGTTTTAATATCCAATTAGGCCTGAACTTGCTACGATTAAGCAGAGTTGAACATCGAGAGTCTACCATAGCGATAAACGAGGAGGGACTAGACGGGAATGGAGACTATGTGCGATGGACGAAAACGAAAAGCATTGTCGAAACGAGGGTCGTTGCCCACGGATTCCACCCTCCGTCTCACGCATCTCTCCCAAGAAATAGGTTCCTCACAAAACCAGTTTCTTCACGTCCAAGAATTTTGCAAGTGTCTCAGGTCCGCCCAGGATAGCGCCCTACAATCTTGATTCTAGCCTTCAGCAACCGCACCTGTCTTTCTCGGGACCTGGCTGATCAATTTTGGCAGCCTCGGCTTCCAACCCGTCGGACATTGCTCCGAGCTCTCGCTGCGCGTCTTCCTCTAATCGCAGGTCTTCTTGGAGTTGACGCTACCGTTTCATGGCGGACGAAACGTGGAACGAGTTATCGGTTGGCCTCGGGCATAGGCTATGCTTCCCAAGCGGACGTCAGTTTGGACTCATCGAGGTATCGCGTAGGGCGGAGTTTAGATTTTTCGAGGCGACCACGACGATGACGGCGACGACCACCCTACCACTAACTTCAACAGCAACCGGAACGGTAACAACACAGGAACGACGTTGAAGCGTGCGACCTCGTTCAAGTCTCGTAGTTTCCCAAGTCGAACTGAACTTACAGCAGTGCCTCGTCATGCCAACAGTGCGGAATCGCTTGCGACCATGATAAGTCCAGTTCTACGTTTTCTCGCACTTTCAAGTTTGTATCGTCTCGATGCACACTCACACACTACCGCTACTTTCCGTGACCGGCACCACGTACACTCCCACCGACCTCGCGCTCCTCTAGACCCTGCCGTTGAGCATCCAGCTGCCCGACCCGGACGTTGATCTCTTCCAGCGCGGCTGCCGCTGCTACCGCCGCCGCTTGTGCGGTCGCCGCAGTTTCTGAGCCTGGTGAGGATGGGTTTCAAGAGGGGCCAAGCGTTGTCGAAAGTGATGTGCAGACCATATTTCCTCAATAGTGCGTCCCCAAAACTGAAAATTCCCAAAACATAAACAAGCAACACACCAAACCTGTTTACATATATATACATGACCCTGTGACGCGTTTATCGCATTCGACCCAGGGGCAAGTTTGGTCGCATTCGTTCTCAATCATCAACGCTCAACGACGATGCCCTTTCACACGATGTTTAGCTGATGAGCCTGCCACCCTGGCTAGACGATGTATTCGTACGCACGATAAGCACACCATCTACAACGCACGTAAATTAGACCTCACGAAAACCTGCGATTCTTACACCACTCGGTTCGATGATACCAGCTTCTCATGTGAGCAACAGCTGAGCAACAGGGTTCGACCCGGGTCTACAATCACTACCCCAATGCCAGACACATCAACTGTTCCTCCTTTGGTCCTGACACGATTCGCCGAACATTGGAACCGGCGACCCCACCTTGTTCAGGTACCAGCGCGGCGCCCCCCTGAACACCCCCCTTAGAAGGGGTCCTCGCAGATCGACCGACCGCACTCTCTGTGGTGAGGGTCATGGTGAAGTCTGATCCTTCACGGTGTCTGCGCCATTGCGTTCCCGGGTTTTTGTTGCCTCCATCTGCCGACCGCTTCCGCCCATCCCTCGACTTCCTCTTCCCTGTTTGCTGGTTTCGCCGAACACCGTCACCATCACGTCCCACGGTGCCACCACCTTCACCGCCGGCGTTCCGACCGGGTGCAGTTAAAGACGATCGATGCCTTCCGGCGGCTATCATGTTCGCCTCCGACTTGGTCGGCGGCAAGTCCCCGAACATCACTTGTCTGCGCCTTTCCAAGCCGTTCGCGAGTGCGGGCACCGAGGCCGCGGCGGCGGCCGCGGTGGGCGTCGTGGGCCCGTGCCCCAGGCACGTCTCCGGGTAGTCGAGGCTAATTGCCCGCCGCGGCGGGGGGTTTCCACCGCCGTCGCCGGCGATTTTTTCGCTCTCCTTCGATGACGACGTGAACATGTTTGCAGAAGAGGTGGCTTGTTTGTGAAGGGCTGAGGGCAGGACCACCTCGCCTCGGGCATACCGCTTAGCGTAGTCGAGGAAGGCCTTCTGGAAGCTGGGGTCGAGAAAGACGGAGAGGATGCCGTGAAGGTGCGCGGGGGCGCGCTCGAGGCGCCCGGCGACGCTGTCCTGGGACCTGAGCCTCAAGGCGTTCAGGGCCTTCTCGATCCGGGCCCGGTTCTCCGCCTCGATGCGGTCCCGCGCGCGGTTCATCTTGACGGCCCTCTCGTCGATCTTGCGCTTTCGAATGGCCGAGAGGAGTTCTGCCACCCTGGTGTACGTCGGCATATTCTCCTTTTGGTCGATGCATCTGCGAGATGGAACGGTTTTGGATTGTACGGGTCGAAATTTTTGAGTGGCTGGAGCATCAAAGGGGCGGGGTGGGAGTGGGGGGTGGTTGGGGGCAAAGAGACGGGGGAAGACGGGTACGGAGGAAACTCGCTACACAGGTTGAAGCGAAGGAGTGAAGGTGTAGCCGACGAAGAGATACGTGAAACGTACAAAGTGATCGGATGGATAGATATGAAGCCGCTGGTGCATCGTCAGACTTGGGGGATGCGTTATTGTGCTTTGACCTCCGGCGTCACGGTAGCTTCCGAGCTAATCTGGGTCCAGCAACTACCCAAAAGGTGCTAGCACCTCTGGCGGACACCGTAGCCGCCGGCACGATTGGCAGACGGTCGATCAGCCACGACAGTGGCAAAAGAGCTTCGGGTATGACGCACGTACCCCGTCACTTCTCGCAGCAGGGCCTCTGTCTTGGAGAGCAAGTTGGCCGTGTCCACCCCTTGCCGTCGGAGGGAGGCCCTCTCCACGGTCATGCGCTGAATCTGCGGAGCGATCGAGATGTGACCACAAAAAGCACCGAAAACGAAACATGGAGCGCGGCTATGAGTGTACGGAACCTCTTGCTCGTGAGGCCTACATTGATTGGAAAAGCAGATCGACATGGCGTATTAAAGTAAGTGGTGGTCAATGACGCGCCGCACCTGACAGTGGGCCTGGTGGACTTCCATCCTCATCTTGGCCCTGCTTTCCGCCAGCGCCCCGACTTCGTCTTGCAGCTCTTCAATGTTTTGCTCGGCGTCCACGAGATCGTGGTGGAGCAGGTCTGCCTCGCCCTCGGCCGTCCGCACCCTGGGCGGAGCGAGCGACACCCCCCATCAATATTCAAGGGATACGAACATGATTGAATGGAGACAAACATGCAAAACACATCATCAACAGAGATCGGATGACAACTTAGAAGCATGGACACGAACATGCTGGGAAATGATTTCCCGGCCATCCACAGTTTGAAGAAAAGAAGAACCACCCACCAAAAAAGAACAGGACAAGGGAAATCTCGAGAAATCGCAACAAAGCAATGTCCTATTGAGGACTGACCAGAGTTTGAAGCTAGTCAATTTACCATCCTGCACTCGTTCAACGTCATGCAGGTACGCCTAGGCGAGCTTTTGGCTTCAGGCGCTGCATGTATATTGCGTGAGGACTCCACCGTTCTCCAGCAGGAGGTCTGCGAAATATCAGCCATCCAAGCTCCTCAATTGGAAACTCAATAGGAGTGGCTGCTGCTCGTTCAGGGGTCATCCAAGCGTACGCCTAGGGTATTGCACTCCCGAGCCAACGTCGTTTCGAGGGGTTTGCACAACCAAAGTCCGTTCAGTGACAGCTGTTCAGATGCACCAATATCACCCTCCCCGCCGGCCCTGCTTCACCACTCATTCTACTTTCGACAAGGGCGGTAGAAGCATGATATCAGCCACTTCCCTCGGCTTACTCCCTGACCCCTGCAAGGAAAGCTCACGCCTCATTTCCTCAACGTCAGACGCAATGTTTTCCACCAAAATTCAGAGAACACGTTGAGGGTTTCAACACGCAGAACGTCCAACGTGCTCCACCGCCCTTGGTCTTGCCTTCAAACTAATACCCGTGGTGACGACACGCCTACGTGATATGCGGCGTACCTTTCCTCGAGATCGCGGACCTCTGCTTTGAGGATCGCTTCCACCTCGAACATGTCCTGCTGGTGCTCGCTTGGGCCGCTCGCTGCGGCGGTTTCGGCGGCTTCGGCCGCGGCCCGTGCTTGTTCCTCGGCCAACGCCGCCCGCTCTACTGCCTCTCGAGCCCTTGATACGATACAATGGTGCAGTGGTCAGGTGGTTTCCAACATGTGCGTGTGGTAGCACGGACGGCGTTATCTCGTCGGCGAATGAACGGGGTGCACCAATAAAGTCATTGATGTCCCGCGTGTGCCATGGTGCGTGTTGACTCGTCGTCGTACACTGCTGTTGGTGCTTTGTCCTCTCTTGGTTGTTGCAGGTGGCTCGACCTACTCAATGCAAAAGTGCTCGGGTTCGATTCACCTCTTCTGCTCATGCGCTGCTTCCATCGCGCTCTGCTCCGCCTTCGTGAGCTCCCGCTGCAAGTCTTCGACCCTGATGTTTGCCTTGGAGAGCTCCTCCTGAAGACCGGCAGCCTTCTCCCGAGCGGCCTTTTCGGCCTCGGTGGTGTCAACACCAGGTGTGGGCGACGACTCCTGCAATCACCACCGGCATCACGCCGCCAGCGCGGGTGGTGTGAACTACGACGTACGCTCCTTATGGTTGTAGCTGTCGCACGTGCTGGGAGCGTGAACGAGCTGGCGTAATCTACACGCACAGACCCCTCACCAAAGTTTTGGCCATGGCTGTTCACTTGTGTGATTCAACCCATGACGCAAACGACACATCTTCTGTACAAACAGGGCAGGATCCGCGAGCATCATGATATTGTCGTCGACATGCTATTGTTGATTTATTTACTTTCCCACTCCCTCTTCAACGAAAGCGGAAGGAAAACTCTGTTCCGGAAGGAAATTAAAGTGAAAATCTATCCGGCTTTGCGTGAATCTCCGATCTCTGCAGACAGCCCCGGGCTCTTGCGCCGTTTCCCGCTCCGATTTCCCGACGCGTTGCGCACCCGACGCTTTCTACTGGTGCCATTTCCGCGCAGGCATGGTTGGGGCAAACCCCCGATAACAATCAGAGAAGATTACATTTCCGCAATGAACTGAGCCCACATTTTCCTACCCCCGCACACAACCCCGTTCGCTATGATGTCCTCACCCTCACAGCATCCTCGGCCCTCTGCGTTGCCGCCGCCGCCTTCAGCGCTGCCTGGGTACCCATGGCCTGCTCCAGCACCAGCACCAGGTCTTCTACAGCATGCCTATGGTAGACATGCATCGCATCGACGGGAGTTAGGCGACATCAGGAAATATCAGGAAACATGGTCATACCGCGGCAGATAGGGTCACCCGACCTCTAGGCCGATAAGAGCAGCGAAAACCATTCCAACCACCATGCAAAGAATACGATGGCCAACCATGGCGGTGTCACAGGTCATTATATTTCCTGCGGAGCTACGCCTACGAGGCGAGTCAGCGAGGTCCGCAGATCAGAGTCATCCCAAGGAATCCAAAGTCATTGCAGCTCTAGTCAGAACGGTCGGGTGCGGGTTGGAAGAAATCGAGTCATGTAGTGTTGCGTAGAATGAAGACCATGGTGACCCGAAGAATGGAAGGTTGCACCGGGTGAGAGGCTCGTGCGAAACGGGCGGAGGGCTCAAGAGCAACAATGTTGTGAGGCGACTAGACTAGGCGAGGTACCCCCGGAACGTGGCTATCAGGCAACAACCTGATAGAGTGGGATTGAGGGACGATGGACGGCCTATTGTGTAGGCCGCCGGACTGAGGGAACAGCTAGAAAAAAATACTCCACACAAAAATAAAAGCAACCGGCCAATGTAAGTGCAGACTGTCTTTGGGTGCCTTGAACCAGAAGTGGAAATTGCCTACACCTGCAGTGTCTCTACCTCGTATTGGCTGTGTTGCTTTTTGATTTCCTCGAAAGCCTTCCTCGCGTTTACAAAGGCAACGCTAAATTTCGTTTGCTTGTTGACATGCCTGATAGGTTCACAGAACGCTAGTTCGAAAAGGGAAGACCGATGTGTGTCCATTCTTACCGATGTCTGTCGGCATTAGCCTCGGCTTCGAGCACCCTCGACAGCAGATTTTGTTGCTCCTGCTCTAGCCCTGCTAGCCGATTTGCCGTCTCCTGCACTCTCTGTTCGTCGGCCAAGCGGTGTTGCTGACGAAGAGCATTCTCTATTCGAGCCCGTTCCTAAACCCAAAAGGGGAAGGGTGGTACTAACAGATATGAGCATTGGTTATACTAGCGCATGGATCAAACGACAGCACCAAGAATGGCGCGACACTCGCAACCTTCATTAACATGCCGATCAACCTTGTTCGTCGGATCTCCGAAACACGTCGCTGCCTGTTCTCGAAACCCACCTCGCTCGTAATGTCCTTCTGCTGAACGAGTTCCTTGCATCTCGCAGCCAGCCTCTCCACCTCCGGCTCCAGCTCCGCGACCCGCTCGTCGCTCTGCTTCTTCAGCCGAGCGGCTTCTTTTAGCTTCTCCTTGTATGTTTTGATCGTGTCTTGCAGCACCTTGGCCATCGTGTTCGTTGGTGAAGGTTGTCAGACGATTTTAGTTTTTTTGCTCACGCCCATATTTTTTGCATCAGGGGTTTCGGTGTTGCCGACCATGATCGAGCACCTTGTTGTCAACGAATAACCCGTACGTTGCCCTGCTTGCCCGTCTCATCTCCTGATGCACTTTCCTCGAACCCGCGAAATAGTACTCAGAAGTTAGCATCTGTTAGCTGTGTTCTTCATTGTTGTTGTATCCGTGGCATTGGCGAACGTGTATCGGTAGCCTCGGCAAACGCGACGTTTGTTCTCTTGCATTACCTCTTCTGCCGCCTCTTTTTCGTACTTGGCGTCGGCGGTGACTCTCTCCTGCTCCTCGCGAAGGGCGTCCAGCTTGCCCTGCGCGGCCGAAACTCGCTCGTCTCCCCCGGCTGCTTTGCCCTGAGATTGTCGTTGAGCAGGCGAAGGAAGAAAAAGTCACGTGCCTGTCTAACTAGGCGATAGGGGGATTCGTTGAGAATCCGAACAAAGTCCTGAAGAGTCGCCCTTGCTGTCATCGTCGTCGATGTCCTACTGCACGAACTATGTGGCCGGAATCAATGACCAAGAGTCAGGAGCCTCCGAAACAGGTACCGTGATTCCTTTCTTTGGCAGCACGACGGAACAAACAACGACTTGTATCTCTCTCTCGCGCGCTGGCTCCTCCTAAACGGCGCGCCTAGAGGGAACCACGCTGTTGGCTCAATGACTGATGATATGGGCGTATGCCGGCAGCAGCTCCTCTCCCTCTTTTCGGTCCCTTCGTCACTCCAACCAAGTGGCATCCATGAGGCGCCTATTTATGCAACCCACAACATTTCTCATGTGTTGAAAGGGAGCCAGTCGCCGGCTACCGGCACATAATGTACTGTAGAACAAGCTCTGAGGACAGGTGGTAGATAATACTTTGACAGTACTGCCAACAGCACAATGGCAACAATGACGACGGTGGTACTGAGAACATACGAATCCAATATTAAAGTGGGGAATGAGTCCAGCGTCAAGATCAAACGACAGGTTCTGTCTGCGACGCTTGCCTTCTGATGTGCGATTTCCAAATCGGCCTTGAGTCTGCTTATCACGAACGCGCTCTTTCCCGCTTCCTCTTCTTTGGACTCTCGTAGATCGTCCAGCTGCTTCCTCCAAATGACGAGCTGCTTTTCGTGCTCCCTTGAAGGACGGGAAAGGGCCGGATGTGAATCTCTTGTACTCCGTAGACTGCGTGTAGCGTTTGGCGGCGCTGGCCATCTGTGGCCCGTTCGCCCCATTGAGGGACGGGGGGGCACTCCTAGTTGCTTTCGGTAGACACGTCACCATTTTCAACTCCATCGCCTACCGAGAAACTTGAAACGTGTGCAAAAAATCGCCGATATAAATGTGCCAAATGGAACGAAATGATGAGCATAGAACCCAAGCAGAGTGAGGACACCAGAATACCGAGGTGCAGCAGCCACATCCATCACTACCCCACTCTAATGCTGGGCCCACCAGAACAGAGTAAGCCCTTTCCGCCTCTCCAACTTTCTCGGCATCAGGTAAATAGGGGGACGAAGAAAGGCGTCGCCAAGGCAGTAAACCGGCGTAGGATGCAATTCGCTTCCCGACCCACATATGTTGATCCCGGGAACCCCGCCCTGTCCCCTGAGCGGGGTTACCGGTTCTTCCTTGTTTCCGTTCCTGTCTTCGGCAGCAAGCTTGGGACATTTCATTTGGGCACCTTCACCATCTCTGGTGGTCAAGGCTTGGGGTAGTTTCTCACATTTCGATCTCCCTGATTTTCTTGTCGTAAAGCTTTGCGTGAGATTCCATCTCCTCCTCGTGCTCTTCGAGGGTCTCCTTCCCCTGGGCAGCGCGCTGCTCCTTTAACTTGCGGTATTTTTCCCTGCGGTCAGGGGAAAAGCAGGAAGCCAAGGATTCAGATGTGACCGGCGAACATTTCGAAACGCGCAAGCGTGCCATGGTCCATGAACGATACATGCGCAATGGACTTGGTCCAAAACAGGAAACGCTTGTCAACACAATGGTGATGCCGTGGGGAACATCTCGGTAGATGACTCTCCTTGAGGTAGAGATGTGTATCACAAAAACGGGGTCCTCGGACGACATTCCTCGGCCGAGTGTGGAAAGCCCTCCTTGGGACTGGATCCATTGGAAGTTTTCATTCTGACAACTCTTGAAGATCCACGACCTGGGTTTCATGGATACCAACCTCATATTCGATAGAAGAATGATGAAGATTGGAGCGACTTGTTCATTTCTGTATTTGGAGTGCGGGCGGAATTATTCTGCCGTCCAGGGTCAAAGTTACCGACGAGGTGAGTTTCAAAAGATTATTTTCAAAATTTATACCCTTTCCTCCTCTGCGCTGCTGCGTACACCAGTGCTCCATGTCTTTGTCAACTGAAACTGTCTGCACGACCACAAACTCAGGGTTAAAGACTGTTCGAGAAGGTGAACACCGCCGGAAGCCTTGGTCGTCTTGTCGAGTCCACAACTCGCCTCCCATCTCCGGCAACGTGTTTCTTAGCGTAAATTTGAACACAGCTACGTCGCCCACACCTGTGGTCTAGTGTTCGAGGTCGACGAAATCCAAGCGCAGCCACGAGAGCCCTTTCTCAAGACCGATCATATGCCAGAAGTGAATTTAAGAAATGAGGCGTGCATCATGCCCACAAACCTCTTCCGAAGACGCTACTACCAGGACTCCTCGGCGTGGAAATCCGGCCGAACCGAAAGACCAAAACTCTTCCGGTATCACCGATCTCTCACTTTTCAGAGACCATCTCTTGCTCTAGCTTCGCCTTGGCATTCTCCGCGATGACAAGGCGAGCGTTTGTCGCGCTCAGCTTGGAGCAGAGGGCCGCCATCTCCTCCTGCATGGCCGCGGTCTTTGTCCCCGCGCGAGTACTCCTCCTTTGCTTGGAAACTAGTTCCAAGTGAAGCTCCAGGCCTTCCTCTCTGTGCACCTTCGGAGAAAGCAGAAGGCGGGGCGGGGGCACTCATGTTTGCATGCCTTAGAGGTTAGACCATTGACCAGAGGAGGGGGGGGGGTGTACTCATAGTCGTGCATGCCGTAGTCGTGAGACCATTGACCTCGCATCCCTACAATGCCGGGACGGAGCACACCGGGTTCTCACCGGACCAGGCACTCACATCACCAAGCGCGAAGCGCCGTGAGATATTCGGCGAGTCGCATGAAGGGTGCGCTGCATCCTGCTAAGGGTGTTCGGCATCTTGTGCTTACTTCCTTGCGTACGGATGACAGCTGCGTATGAATTAATTTATTTTCTGGTGCTTTCACTTCCAGAGACAGTTGTAAGCACTGTGTAACTGCCTCGAGGGTGCTTGACCATTTCAACACAACGTGGTGCGATCATCCCCCTTGCGCGGAGTGAGGGATTTACACCCCGCACAACATGACCTACTCGAACACCATTATGGTTACCGCCAAAACAAAATCAGAGGTAAAAAAAAATACCGGCGACCTGGTTGCCGAGTTCACGAAGTGAATTGGCTTGTTTTACAACGTCGTTGCCAGGCGACGAAAACCCAATCCCGATGGCAAACCAAAACACCGAGGGGAAAGGCTTGTTTTACAACGCCGTTGCCAAGCGACGAAAACCCAACCCCGATGG